TATGTTACATTTCATGGTAAATCATTTATAAATAAAATTTATGGATTAACACAAGATCCAGCTACAAAAGAATATATATTTGTAATGGAATACATGGAAGATGGAAGTCTTCAAGATTATGAAGATCCATATATTAGAAAAGAAGAATATGGGAAATGTCCAACATGCAATAAATATAATACTAATTATTCATGGTGTCAATCATGTGATCCAAAATTATTAACTGAAGGATGGACTAGTGGCAACAAAACATTAGATGAATTGATTAAAAGCACACAACTTAAAGCAACTAAGTATCATTATAGTAATCATCTTCAATGGGTTCCTTATAATGATTTAAGAAATATTGAAAAGATGGGTGAAAGTGGTTTTGCAACTAGATCCAAAGCTACTTGGTTAAATGGTTATAAAAGTATAAATTGTTATAATAATAAAAGAACTAGTAAAGATATGACTGTGGCATTAAAAAAACTACATTATCCACAGAATACTTCTGAAGAATTTCTTAATGAGGTGAATTATTTTATTTTTGTGTTTATTTTCAAATTTTTTAAATATTATTGATTATTATTGTTGTAATTAAATATTTCATTTGTTATTTTAGCTTGAAAATTATATGAAATCTCATGATAAAATATATATTTATGGATTAACACAAGATCCAATTACAAAAGAATATATATCTGTAATGCATTACATGGAAGATGAAAGTCTTCAAAATGATGAATATTCTGACAAAAGAGATGAAGAATATGGGGAATGTCCAACATGCAATAGATATAATACTTATTATTCATGGTGTCAATCATGTGATCCAAAACTATTAACTGAAGGTTGGACTAGTGGCAATGAAACATTAGATGAGTTGATTAAAAACACACAACTTAAAGCAACTAAGTATCATTATAGTAATCATCTTCAATGGATTCCTTATAATGGTTTGACAAATATTGAAGAGATGGGAACAGTGCACAAAAGGTATTTTAATTTGCTAGTTTTTTCTGGCAGAATTTTCATTTTTCTGGTAAATATTTTAATTTTATTATTATTTCCAATGACCATTTTACATTTGCATCCATTTTCAGAAAAAAATTTTCGAAATTTTTACAAGAAAATTTTGTGCACTGGATGGGAAAAAGTGGTTTTGCAACTAGATCCAAAGCTACTTGGTTAAATGGTTATAAAAGTATAAATTATTATAAAAATGAAAGAACCAGTAAAGATATGCCTGTGGCATTAAAAAAATTACATAATTCACAGAATATTTTTGAAGAATTTCTTAATGAGGTAAATTATTTTTTATTTTCAAATTTTTTAAATATTATTGATTATTATTGTTATAATTAAATATTTTATTTGTTATTTAGCTTGAAAATTATACAAAGTTTCATGATAAAGTTTATATTTATGGATTAACACAAGATCCAAATACAAAAGAATATATATCTGTAATGCATTACATGGAAGATGGAAGTCTCCAAAATGATGAATATTCAAAGAAAAGAGGTAAAAGATATGGGGAATGTCCAACATGCAATAGATATAATACTGATTATTTGTGGTGTCAATCATGTGATCCAAAATTATTAACTGAAGGATGGACTAGTGGCAATGAAACATTAGATGAGTTGATTAAAAGTACACAACTTAAAGCAACTGATTATTTTAATGATTATTATCTTCAATGGATTCCTTATAATGATTTAACAAATATTGAAAAGATAGGTGAAGGTGGGTTTGCAACTATATACAAAACTACTTGGTTAAATGGTAATAAAAGTGCTGATGGAAATAAAAGAACTAGCAAAGATAGGACTGTAGCATTAAAAAAATTACATAATTCATGGAATATTTCTGAAGAATTTCTTAATGAGGTAAATTATTTTATTTTTCTATTTATTTTCAAATTTTTTAAATATTATTGATTATTATTGTTGTAATTAAATATTTTATTTGTTACTTTAGTTCAAAAATTATATAAAATTTTATAATAAAGATGATATAATTCGTATTTATGGATTAACACAAGATCCAATTACCAAAGAATATATATTTATAATGAGATATATGGAGGATGGAAATCTTCAAATTTATTTGGCTAAAGATTTTAAGAATTTAAAATGGAAAAATAAAATAAAAATTCTTCATAATATTATTTCTGGTTTAAAAAATATTCATGAAAAAAAAATTATTCATCATGATTTTCATAGTGGTAATATTCTTCAAACAAACAAATTGGGATCATATATTGCAGACTTGGGATTATCATGCTCCGCTAGTCAAACATCATCAAACAAAAATGATATATGTGGAGTACTACCATATATTGCACCAGAAGTTTTAAAAAAGAAACCATATACAATGGCATCAGATGTATACAGTTTTGGAGTTTTGATGTCTGTAGTATCAACTGGTCAACAACCATTTAATAATTTGGCACATGATGAATATCTTGCAGCAAAAATATGTAAAGGTGCAAGACCCGTATTCTCAAATAATACTCCAAAATTCTATATTAAACTAGCATTCAAATGCATGGATGCTAACCCAGATAAACGTCCAACTGCTAAAAAGATTTATGAGACTATTAATTTTTGGAATGATTCACTTCAACATTATAGGTCAGGTGATAAACATGAATCAATTGAAAGAGAGTTTGATAAAATGGATGAAATAAAATTTGATCCTTCAACAATTACTGCAGCAATTCATCCAAATGCAATTTATACTAGCAGATTATTAAGCTTTACAAACCTTCCCCAACCTGTGAATTCCAATAAAGTAACAATTATTGGTAATAATAATGGTAATTATTAATATTCAATCATTGATTATTTTCATTTTTATTAAAATTAACAATATTTGTTAACATCCACTCTTGTAATAAATATTTTGTAGATTCTAAACAAATTGATTTAGCTATACCAGATGACTTACATGAATAAGTTAAATCCTGTCACTTATTATGTATTAAATTACTTATTTATTTTATTTATCTGGCTACTATGGTTTAAATGTCTTGAGTATATATAATAACAACTTTGGTTTTTTTTTGAATTAAATAAAAAATAATGATTTTTGACAAGTAATTTTTAATAATCATAAATGTACATAATTTATTTTCTTACTTTTTCAATCAATGTTTTCATTTTTTTATAGAACTAATAAGTTGAAGTGATGTAACTTATCAATATATCAATATACCATATATACAGTGAACCCTCCATAAGTGCACCCTCTATAAATGCACATCATCCATAAATGCATGCTATGTCTCATTCCCAACCTCGGGAGTTAGAGATAAATGCACACCCTCCATTACTCTGCACTGCACGGTCTTCTTCCATCCCCGTCCATACAAATCACCCTCTCTAAATGCACGCCCGTGACTTTCACGTGATCAATTTGTAAATAAATTCGTGTTACATTAATTAATTACCTAATCAAATACCAATTGAAGAATTCTTAAGTAATCCAGAAGAGAAAATAATTTATGAAGTTTCTGAAATGATAAAATTATTGAAGAACTTGTTGAAATATATAAAAAACAACCAGAAGCACCTGCTGATATTAATGAAGAAGATGATAGTGCTGAGCCAGTAATAATAAGTGCGAATGAAGCTTCAAAAGGCTTGGAAATTGTCTATGCTTTTTTACTGCAACAAGAAAATTCTAAAGAACAATTGAAACAAGTTAATGCTCTTGAGTGATACATTAATTTAAAAAAATTCAATTCAATGAAGCAAACCACAATGAATCAATTTTTTAGTCAACAATAATATTATTATGTAATTAATATATAATAAAAAATATTTAATTGAAATGTCAATCAATTTATTATAAAAATGCGGGGGAAATTTCATATTAAATGATCGGCAAAAAAATCAAAAAATCATTAATATTTCGAGTAAAAAATAAAAAAAAAAAACTATAGTATATATTAATAATTGCATTCATAGTTTTTTATTTAACAATAAACTCAAAAATAATAAAAGGGCTTGTTTTCCATTGTATTCAATCTCCCATCCAGGAGCATGTTACGAGATTGTTTGCTAACAACCACGCAAATACACTACCCAACAAGACCTGTTTAACAAAGGCAATATTATTCTATAAACATAAAAAAAAATCACTAATTTTACTTTTATGGTTAAATCAACAAACAAAATTTATGCAATAATCTTTGTTTTAAAAAGAATAACTAACCCATGAGAATTATAAGCAAAAAACCATTCCTTTGTCTAAATAAACAAAGAAAAAAAAATGAAATTTATTATTCATTTGTTTTCGTTTTTCCTCTGCTTTTCAAACTTTTGATAATGAATATCAAAACCTTGCATTTAACCAAAAAAATAATGCTTACCTTCAAGAGCAAAGTCTTTTATTTATCAATATAAATAGTATTTCTGTTCATTAATCCCCTTTTTGAATAATCAAATATCAAAAAGAATTATGACTTTTGGTAATGGATGGAATTTCGAATAGTCTTAAACATTTCAAATAGTCATAAACATTTCAAATAATCATAA